GGGCCTCGGCGTCGGGTGGGGAAACGCACGGCAGGGAGGCCCGGCTCAGCTCTGGGAGCCTGCCAAGGAGGCAGCACGCCCCGAGAAGAGGGGCGAGCTGCAGGCGGCAGCGACGGCATGTGCAAAGGCCCTGAGGTCGGAGAGTAGCTGAGAAGTCGAGCGTGCTTTGGGTGGCGTGTGCGCACGCGTGCGCGTGCGTGAACCCTTGCAGGAAACGCACAGGATTGGAACGGGATGATGCTGGGGTCCGGCAGGGACCCGTCCCACGGGACCCTGTACTTCCCCCCAGCTCCCTGCAGGGTCCCCGCCCCGACCTTTTGGGCTCCTGGGAAGCGAATGCGGGCCCTGGTCTACCGGAGAGGAACCCTGTGTGGCCTGGGGCCGGTCACTTCCTCCCCACGGACCTCAGTTTCCTCCTCCGCGAAACGGGGACACGAACGAACACCCGCTTCACGGGGCGCGCGCGGACGCCCTCCCGCCGGGGTCCTGCCTGCGACGTCACCGCCGCGCCAACCGGGCGGCTGGTTCTGCACGACCGAGACGGGGGACTCACCAGATGCAGGTGGCGCAGCGTCTCCACGTACCTGCGGAGGGAAAAGGGCGGGGGCCGCGTCAGCTCCCGGCCCGCGTAGACCCGGGAGGGGCCGCGCGTCAGCTGCCCCGGGACTCACGCTCTCTCCGAAGACAGCAGCTCCTGGGCGACAAGGAGGGCTCGCGACGGTCCTTCCGCCTGCGGGAGCAAACGCAGCCGTCAAGACGGGCGGCCAGGGCCGGTGCCAGCGCCCTCGGGCCGTGCCTTGCGACTCAGGAACTCTGGGACCTCCGAAAAGTCACTCGACGTCCCTGCGCCTTGCTCTGCCCGCCTGTCAAGGCGGACGCTGACAGCTTTCAGCGCGGAAGGTCACTGAGCCAACGCCCAACACGGTGCCCGGCACGTAGTAAGTGCTCAATGAACGGCCGCTAGCGTGACGGGGCGAGCCGTGCCTGCCATCCCCGGGCCCCCCCGACCTTGAACAACCTGGGGTTCCCTGTGCCAGGCGTCCCTCTCCCTGCCTGCTGTGGCACACGCTGTTCCCTCAGGGCGTCGTTCCCGATCTCTCTGCCTGGCCACCCCCGGTCGTCCTGTACGACGCGGCCGCGGTGTCACCTCCTCCCTCCTGCTGGCCTCTCCTGCCCCCGTCGCCGATCGGGCTGGGTTAGGTGCCCCCTTTCCGAGCACGCCCCTGTCAGGACACCTGTCACCACTGCCAGGCAGGGACCGCGAGTTTCAGCTCTGCACGACCAGGGCTTCGCACACAGCAGCTCTTTGTTGACGGCAACAATGAATGAGCGAGTGAGGGAATGAATGAATGTTCGTTCCACCTGGGAAGCGCCAACTCCGCAGGGTGGCCTCAGAAGGTGACCTCCTTTTTTTCTTTTGAGACAGAGTCTGGCTCTGTCGCCCGGGCTAGAGTGCCGTGGCGTCAGCCTCGCTCACAGCAGCCTCCAACTCCTGGGCTCAAGCGATCCTCCTGCCTCAGCCTCCCGAGTAGCTGGGACTACAGGCTCACAATAGCAAGCATGGCTGATTTTTTGGGTTTTATTTAGAGATGGGGTCTTGCTATGCTGCCCAGGCTGGTCTCAAACTCCCGACCTCAAGCGATCCTCCTGCCTCAGCCTCCCGAGTAGCTGGGACTACAGACACGCGCCACCATGCCCGGCTAAGTTTTCTATATGGTTTTAGTTGTCCAGCTAATTTCTTTCCATTTTTAGTAGAGACGGGGTCTTGCTCTTGGTCAGGCTGGTCTCGAACTCCTGACCTCGAGCGATCCTCCCGCCTCGGCCTCCCAGAGTGCTGGGATGACAGGCAGGAGCCACCGCGCCCGGCCTGAAGGTGAGCTCTCGAGCTCGGAGTCCCAGTTTGCTCCCCTGTGCGACGTGGGCACGAGCTGAGATGACGTCCACAAGCAGGAAGGCTGGGTGGGGGCTGAGACACCTTCTGCCGCAAGCAGCCCCCTCCTCTGCGGCCCCAAACCTGCCGCGTGTCAGACACAGGCGGGGGCCGGGTCCAGAGGTGCGAGACGCCGCGGGCCAGGCCACGAAACAGAGGGAGGAGGCTGGGAACGTGCAGCCGTTTGCACCTTAATCCCAGCACTTTGGGAGGCTGAGGCGGGAGGATCGCTTGAGCCTAGGAGTTCAAGACCAGCCTGGACAACACAGTGAGGCCCCTTCTCCACGAAAAATACAAAACTTAGCCGGGCATGGTGGTGCGTGCCTGTAGTCCCAGCTACTCGGGAGGCTGAGGCAGGAGGATCGCTTGAGCCCAGGAGTTGGAGGTTGCTGTGAGCTGGGCTGATGCCACGGCACTGTAGCCTGAGCGACACAGAGAGACTCTGTCTCAAAAAAAAAAAAATGGAAATGGAGGCCAGGCTGGAAGGATCGCTGGAGGCTAGGACTTCAAGATCAGCCTGGGCAACCTAGCAAGACCCCACCTCTACAGAAAATGCAAATAATCAGCCGGGCATGGTGGCGCATGCCTGCAGTCCCAGCTACTAGGGAGGCCGAGGCAGGAGGATCGCTTGAGCCCAGGAGTTCGAGGTTGCTGTGAGCGAGGCTGATGCCACAGCACTGTAGCCCAGGTGACAGAGAGACACTCTGTCTCAAAAAAAAACGCTGTGATTCAGAGCTCACGTACCCAGGTGGGACTTGAACCGCCACCGACAATGATGTGATAGGTGACACCCTGCGTGATGAAAATGCGGTTTCTGCAGGCGATTCCAGCTGTGTGTAAGGCCAGCCCCACGGCGAGGAGCAGAGGGTGGCGGAGGGTGGCGGGGCAGGACGCGCAGTCCCGCTGGCAGATGAGAAATCTGAGCTCCGGACCCGCGCACGGCCCCTCTGCGCCCTCACAAGGACGGGGTGCTCCTGTCTGAGCCTGGTCCCCAAAGGACACTGAGCGGGTCCCATGTCCGGGCGGGGGCTGCTTTACCTCCCCGACCGCTGGCCTGGGGCCGACGGTGTCGCCCAAAGCTGTGGCCTCTGCGTGTTCGTTCACCGCGTGGCGGGCTCTGCTGGGGTCCCTTAGACTCGTTGACTCCCGCGACTGTTCCCAGGCAGGTGCCGGCGCCGTTCTCATTTCCCGCACGGGGAAACCGAGGAACAGAGAGGCGCAGCGGCTGCCCGCGGCGCCCAGCCAGCAAGGGCCGAAGCGGGGTCTGAACCTCCCCGGGCCGCCCTGCCTCTTGCCGGCCCCTCGTTCCCGGTGTCCTAGAACTCCGGGCAGGCCAGACCCCTCCTCCCTACCGATGTTCTCCTTCGACCTTCCCATAGCCCGAGAGCTACCATGATGCTCCCATTACACAGATGGGAAAGCTGAGGCCCCACGGTGGGGAGTGACCGGCTGGAGGACGGGCAGGGGCTGTGGGGCTGGTCTCGGCCGTCCCAGCCCGTCCCCTGCAGTGGGGGGGGTCGTCTCTCGTGGCCCAAAGTCCCGGCCCCCCTCGCCCCGGAAGCCCCCCGGGATGCCACCCCTCAGTGGGTGCAGAGACCCCGGCAGCGGACCGGGCGCGGCCACCAGACAGCGCACGGACGCGCCGTCGCCGGCAGGACCCAGCTGTGTGCGCCCAGACGCGGGGGGCGCAGACCTGTCCCCGTCCCCTCTCCACCTTCTCATCGCGGACGCCCGCATCCCACCGGCCCCTCCCCGGGGGGCTGCGCTACCTTGTGGGCGAGGCTGGGGTCTCTCGGGACTCCGTCCTCCTCCTCCTCCTCCTCCTCCGAGCTCCTCTGCTCTTCGTCCGACGTGAGGTCCTCTTTCGGGGCCGCCACCGACACGGGGCACACCTTGTAGGGCTCTGTGTAGGCACTGGGTCAGAGCAGGGGAGAGAAGGGTTAGCGCTTCTTGTCCGGCAGAGGCCGAGTAAACCCGCCCGGGGTCCCGCCGGTGTCACAGGGATGAAGGGACACGCGTACGACCCAGGCACGAGCCTCCTGCGCCACGAGCCCCGCCGCCACACTGGCCTCCGTTTAGAGCCTCGAGCACGCCAGGCTCTTTGCTGCCCCAGTGCCTTTGCACATGCTCAGCCGGACTGGTTTCCGGTGAGACACGAGGCGGCCTGCGATGCTGAGGTCGGTGCAAGTGCTTTGCTACGGAGGCAAGAGATGCTCAGCCTGACGGCTCTGGGGTCCGACCTGGGCCGGCCGGGCGGCAGGGTTCGTCCTCAAGGTGAGCTGTGTCCCCTGGGCCCGAATAAGGGACGTGTGTTCCGGGCCCCGGTGCCAGCCCGGCCATCAGCCAGATCCTTCGTGGACCAGACATGCCTCAGGGCGCCGGTCTCCGCCCCAGCCGCGTGGGGTGACGGCTCCTGTCTCGCCCGGCCGCGAGCTCACAGACGACCTCACCCGTGACGATCACGCCGGCGCTGCCTTGAATTAACTGAGTAACGAACACCTGCATTCGATGCCCATTTATCGACTGCCTGCTGCATGCCAGGCCGTGGCTAAAGCCCTGCTGCATACACAGACACGGTCCCCGTCCTCGGACGTGGACAACTCGTGCACGATCGCAAACGGGGCCCCCGCAGAGACGGCTCTGGCCCCGTCACGGCAGCCTCCCGGCTCCCCGCCCGCCCCTCCACGCGGCGCAGTGACTGTTCTCCCCGCTGCTCCCTCTCCTGCTCAAGAACCTTCTATGGCTCCCGCTTGCCATTGGCCACGCGGCCTCAGACAAGATCTCTTTAGACTCGAAATCTGGTCTTATACGTATTCCTGGCCCCCGGGGACGCCGGGATGAGACGCTGGGCGGATGGACGGATGGACGGATGGAGGAGACAGAAGGGGATGTCGCTTCTGGACTGGCCGCGCCCACGACAGCCGCGCAGGGGCGCCGGCCCGGGCGGAGGGAGCGTGGCCGGGCAGGGACACAGGGAGCTTGGGCTACAGCCGAACCGGGCCCCGTCCCCAGCTGCTTCTCCACTGCCCGTCTCAGAACACACGTCCCCAGGAGGCCACGCAGAGCAGGGACACGGTGGCCTGTTCCCGCCTCAGCTTCCGGGCCGCGCCCTGGTTTGCAGAGACGCAAACCGAGTCCCGCGACCCAACCTCTCCCCAGGAGGCCACCTGTGGGCGGGACCCTTTCCGAAACCATCACCCTGTCGGCGTTTTCTTTCGAACTACGGGAGCAAACGGCGCAGTCGGCGACGCACCGCACGGCCCCGCCAAGGCGCGATATAGAGAACCTTTTCCAGGTCTGTCCCCCCCGCCCGCCAGGACCACCCTGGTCACCCACCAGGACCAGCCCGGTCACCTGCCAGCCCCCTGCGCGTGAGGAGGGCGTGCCCGGCCTCGCTTGCCCGGCGGAGCTCGGAACCCGGTTCCGGAAGGGACTGCGTGGACCCGTCCCAGGCGGCCCTCGCTCCGCTCCGTCCGGCTGCGGCCGTTTGCCGGACAGACGGGGGTGGGGACCCCCAGGACGGCCACACGCTGCCGGCAGGAGCCCCGCCTGCCCCGCGATCCCGTCCCTCCCCGGCTGTCCCCGGCAGAGCGACCCCACCTGCTCGAGACCCGATCCGGTCACGCCGCCCCCCTGCTTGAAATTCTTCAGACACGTTCCCGCGCCGCTCTGAAGTGTCCACGGTGTCACACGCCGCTGGGCATCCGCAAACCCGGGGACTCTGCCTCCGGCCAAGCGGAGGGGGGTGGTCGCCGCCAAGCAGGGCCAGCGGGGACGCCGGGCACAGCGCTCACGGCCCCGGGCCACGCGCAAACTGCGCCAACGCACGTGGCCTCCGAACAGGCCTCTCCCTGTGCTTGGCCCCATTTTGCAGACGTGAAAACAGAGGCTGCCGGCGCCCGGGTGTGGAGAGTTGGGTCTTTGGTGGTGCTCTGTTTTTGTCGCTGTTTTATTTTATTTTTTCAGACTCACAAGAGTGCAGAGATGACAGCCCGTGGTCTCAAGTGAGACGGCCGGGTGCGCGCCCCGCCGCGGCGACAGCGGCCGCGTGTCACCAGCCCAGACCGCGGGAGCGCCTGAGCCACGGGGCGGTCGGGGAGTCAGGGAGCTAAACAAACCACGCGATTATTGAACTACAGGAACACGCTTGGCCGGATTCTGCCCCTCACCCTCGGAGACGCACGGATCTCCCCGACAAACCCGGTTACTTCTGATCCAGCCCCCACCCGTCCTCGACTCACCCTCAGCTGCGGCCAGGAAACGAGGCCCACGCTACAACAAACAAGTCAACAGACAAGCAACTTAAAAATGACAGGAAAGAAATGTGGTCCACGGTGGTGGCCCTCTTTTCATTATTATACTTCTTTCTCTGATTTCTGTTTTCCAAAGGATCACGACAATGGAGGTCATTGGGAGGCCGAGGAGGGAGGATCGCTGGAGGCCAGGAGTTCGAGACCAGCCTGGGCAAGAGCAAGACCCCGTCTCTACTAAAAATAGAAA